AGCTTTGTCCTGTTTTGGGACACTTCTTTATCTTGAAATGAAACTGTTAACTCATGTTAACTAACATGATGTTGTATAAAGAACTTGCATGATATAATATTCCATACATTTTCAGCATTTATGCTGGCAGTTAGCTCTCTGCAAATCTCACATGGTCACTTACTGAAGCTAAGCAGGGCAGCCCGGTCAGTACCTGGATGGTTAGTGAAACCAGCAGGGGGTGTTCAACCTGTGGTCTGTGTGGGTCCTAATGCCCCAACATTTTGATAGGGACTCTATACTTCTTCCTGACTCTGATGGGATGTAGCTGAAAGGACATCCGCTGTGTAAAATATATGCTGGATAAGTTGGCGGTTCATTTCGCTGTGGTGACATCAGATTAATTAGGGGACTAAGCTGAAAAGAAAATGATTGAATTAATTAATTTCTTCAGCTGGCTACTAGATGATCAGACACTGTTAAGGTGGTTTATGAGGACTTGGCCTGTGTACTCATAATTCAAATGCTTAAAAATCATACTTAATTTGCTGTTTTGATAATTAGGGCCTAGGGATAAAACCATATAATAAGAGTTTGGAGTATAAAACAGTATAAAAATGTTTTTACAGTATAAAATACATTACACGTATAGAGTCAGCAATAAACCACATATGCAATTGTCTATGTGTGTGCTTGCGTATTTTGCATGTTTTTGTAAAATGTATAATACTGCACAAAAATATTTCCATATTGATGATACTTCCTTTTACCTGTGATGTAACACTTTCATTGATAATCCTCCCAAGCCAAATAGTGAGCCCTATTACCTTTGCATGTTTAAGAAAGGTGTTGTTGTCATCCTCTGTGCTTGACAATCATCTTTTTTTTATATGGACCAGATAAAAGATTATGTAGACTTCAGGATAAGGAGAGACAAATAGGCTAACATGCATTGGTGCCTCTCTTCTTATGTTGTCATTTTGGGAAGTGTTTGAAAGTTTTGCATTTGTGGTTTACGTGCATTGGATGTGTCCTTAAACCAGATTTAAACTAACAGACTGAGTCTGCTAGTTCTGACCTAAAGTTAATTAATGTGAAGGATTCAAATGATCATAGTTCCTTTTACCTGTGACGTAATGTTTAAAGCTCAATGATCTTATTGAAAATATGATGATTTGATTCTCCCAAGCCAAATAGTGAGCTCTTAGCCTACACCTTTGCATGCTTTAAAAAAGGTAATTTTGGTTCACTCGAGACTAAAGTTATTGTTCTGTCTCTGAATAATGTTTGCATCAGTAACTGACATCATCTGAAATCTTCACTAGTGTGAATAAGGGTTAAAAGCAGCCTGATCTCTTGAGAAAACGTAAGTATTTTGCCTTTTTTTCAGTTTAGTGGCTAATTCATACGAATTCAGATGAGTTCAGTTGTTTAAAATTGTACGATTTTAAAAAGGAAGCTTGGCACCCAACCCCACCCCTAAACTCAACTGTCATTGGGGGATGAGCAAATCATACTAAACTATACGAACTAGATCGTACGAAATCATACGAATTAGCCACTAAATCAAAAGTTACGAATTGCCATGAGACTGTGTTGAAGTGCTTCCTCTGAATTGCTGAGAGAAAAGGAGGGAGCGAACATAGGCAGGCGGTTCACCAATGATTAAAAGTTGTGAATAATAATTAGTTGCAATTATTGGGAAATAAAGCATTAACATCATGAATTAAAAGTCAATCTTTACAAATGTCAGTAATCTTATTAAAGTCCTTTGGGAGAGATGCACAGAAAATCAACCTGGGTTTTTTATCTCAAATGTGCTCCCCTGCGAGTGAACCCACTTATTTAGGGTTTTCAATGCAAAATTGCTGACATTGATTTCTGATTCTGTGCGTTTCGTATAGTAGAAAACATGTGGTAGGAGTTCTATGCGCAGCTTCTTCACAGTAGGTAATTCAGTCTGGACATTTAAACTTTATATAATTTTATAATATGTCATGACATGTCCCTTCCCATCCAAGGGTTGTCCCCCCCTCAAAAAAAAATTATTATTAAAAAAAACCTCTCAATTGTGAAAATATAAATATACCTAAAATAATTTGTTGAGTAGAAAGAAAACCGAATTCATCATTTAAAATGCATTTAGAAACAGTTGAGCTCCCCCTCCCCTTCTTTAGAGTGTTTCAATCCACTGCATGCTTAGCCAGCTCTTCTCACCTACTCACACACAAGCACACCTCAGGTGTGCGGCTGCAGCTAAGTAAATGTTGAATTTCGGTAAGTAAGTAGGATATATTATCCAACTTAAATAAAGCGATTCTCTTCAATGTAGTTAATAAAGACTCGTTCATAAATTATTTGCAGCAAAAATGTTGATTACCGACGTAATTGTTCATGAATCTGCTGTATTAGCGGTAAAAATTACTTATTTAGTTAGCGTTAGCTTGTTGCAACGCCAAAGTCGTTTCCCATGCATTGTTTTATTTGTGACGACTTGGCATAATGTTAAGTTAACATTAACGACCACAATTAGCATATTGTTTAGCTGTGTATTTGCTAAATGAGCACCGTGCTACGCCCAGTCTAACCCCACTGCGTTTTTGTATAATCAGTTTCTATTCTGTTCTTAAGTAACTCAATTAATTTGAAATAAAAAATGTCCTTGTTTATATTGGTGCGATTATTTTTATGATAGTTTTACATTCTTTATGTAAAGCACTGCACATTTGCACTTTGCACATTACCATTGTGTATAAAATGTGCTACAGTATAAATAAACTTGCCTGGCAGTGTCATGCATTAGAGAAAATTGACAGAAAATGGACATAAGATAATTTTTCAGTGCAGCTAAACGCCAAGTACAAAAAGTTCACATATTAAGCAATTTGGCTTTCAGAATGAGTGAATGAGAAAATGCTAATGTCACAATATCAATAACAGGCAGAGGAGAAAGAAATGATTGAGGAACAGGCAAAGCAGGGTCAGTCAGATGTACAGTGTCAGGTAAGGGTGTTGTGCTTTATTGAAGGGATAATGACACTTCTTTTGGGGTTGAACATTTTTTTTAAATGTTTTTGGAGTTGTGGCTGTTTAGCAGATAAACTTCACAAGCTCGCCTATTTACAATATGATCGGTCAATTTAACAAGTGTAATGTAAACTAGTTATTATGAGTATGGAAATTGTCTTTTCCTGCATTTATTCTGCTTCAGGAGTCAGTCTGTTGACTGTAAACAACACAACAAACAATGCCATAAATAGTTTTTTAAGAAAAAAATTGCTTTATCTTTGAACCTGATAAAAACTTTGAAAAATAATCATAATGATGTAGTCTCCATGCTATAATAATAATGATGAAACCATTTTTAACTGCGGGGACATGTCTTTATTATTACAATTTGGCTGTATTATTTGTGTCCCCTTCAAAAAAATGCTCGAAAGAAATTTTATATTTATTGTCCCCCCCCTACTGTTAAATCAGATTTACGCCCATGCAGGATGCTGGGACAACAACCAGGCACCCACATCTCCTATCATTGGAAAGTGAGAAATGCATTTGGTGAAACTTTGTAAACACTTGTTTGTGTTTGTAATATACAGATACTGTAAGTTCCATGTTGGGAAAGGAAGGGTGGGTCACACTGTGTGTGCACCTTCTACTACACACAGCTTGTCACAACATTCCACTGCACACGACAAGCAACAGACCAGAAGTCATTCATTTCCAATAGATAGTAGTCTGAGAGCTGCGTGAAGTTTAGATCATCTCTGTATGCAGAAAATTCGGATCTGATTTGAGTTGGTCGACCAAATGTGATGTAATCCAGTGTTGTGCAAGTAGGTGTGCAAGAGATGAGAAATAATGTTTTCTTCCGTTATTTTTCGGATCAGAAAAAAAGTATTTTTAAAAAAAACATTTATATTCAGAAATGAGTGATTAAAAAAATATTTCCACATTCTCTCCAAAAAGTTTTAGCGGCCTATAAGTTTCTAGTATTCATTCAATCAACCATGGTAAAGCAAGATAATAAAAGCTCTTGCTTTTGCACTCCTTTATTTCGGACACAGCGAGAATCAGCTTCTCTCCTATGGTGCACAACAAAACAAAAAATTATATGTGACTGCCATAAGATGGCATATTCCAACAGTCGTGTCCGAATGTTGTGTGCAGTGGAAAGGCGGCTTAAGAGTGGAAGAAGGGCTGATTTGTAATCTCCCCCTCATCAGAATAGGATCCTTTCAGTGGACACTCCATAAAATTAAGTCATGAGTATCCAGCATGCCTAGTTAGAGCTTAGAAGGCTCTGTTCTTAGTCTGAGGACTGTGAGAAATTAACAGATCAACCAAGATCTGATTCTCCAGTAGCTCTGTTGAAACACAGATCAACTTTTCGTAGTTCTAACTACAGTACTGCGCCACTGCATTGCCCTATTGGCAATTTAGTTTTTTTCAATTCACCTATACCACATACCTGTGGACTGTGGGGGAAACCGGAGCACCCAGAGGAAACCCACGCCAACATGTGGAGAACATGCAAACTCAGAAATGCCAACTGACCCAGCCAGGGCTCAAACCAGTAGACTTCTTGCTGTGAGCCAATTGTGCTACCCACTGTGTCACCGTGATGGTGTCTTTCTTCCAGAAATAGATGACATTATTGTATGTGTGCAAAGCATTGTATCATCAGTTAGTGGTTCCCAATCTTTTTCTGCTGAAGAGACCCCTTTGATAATACTGGAACCGTTTTCAAGCTCCTAACCCCCATTTTTCTAATTGCACCCACCTGATGATAATTTTTATTTTAATAAAATTGAAACTAATACAAATTAATTTCATTCAAATCTAAGTATTGAGCATTATTACTCAGGTCTTCATTCATACATAATTGAAATCATAATATCCTAATGTGATGATCAAGAAGCAATGTTATTTTTAATTACCACTACTACTAATAATAGTTCTGAAAACTTACTGAAAACAGGAATATACATGCACATACATAAAGACACTCTCAGACATTACAGTGATTGAAAATTTGTATTTATTTGAAAGATTGTAATGAAAACAGTACTAAATAACAACCAGGAGTTTAGCTTTGTGTCTTTATGAAGCATCAAACAACACTTGAGGATTGATGTTGCATTGGATCGCTATATCTGGTTGTTTGCTTGAATGACCTTTAGGTTCATTGTCACTGACAGTGCTTTCACAAGCTTGCCCATGCTTAAAGAACCACAAATCATATTATTTCTAGCTTTCTGCAGCTTCCTGCAGTACTCCATTCTGATCCTTTAATTAATTGTGCTTAAATGAGTACTGAAAGATATTTTGAGGTTTTCAAAAAGTCAAATTGATATTTGGCGTTTAATTATTTTCTTACGCTTCAAGTAACTAATAGGCATCATAATAGCATGTGGTCTTATATCACAAGACTTTTGTTTTCACTGATAAATGTGATATTTGGCATTATGCTTTCATTTTTTGTTTTGTTTTCTTGAAAATCTTCACCTGAATCAACTGTAATTTTCTTTAACAGGATTCCATGATGCGTCTGACGGAAGCAATTTTCAGTGAGCCTAGACCCATATCACTGAAGGTACTGTATTCCCCAGGCCTGATGTATATCATTCTGCCCTCAAAATTGGGCCTTTCGTACAGAAGCCAGTGGCCGTGTGTAACATTGCATGACTGGCAGTCAGACATATAAAAGCGTTCCTGGATTGACTCACAGTCATCCATCAGCTCATATTTTTGTCCGACAAAGTTCTCCTTTTCAAAGATTCTCATTCTAAATGTTCCTTTATGCTGAAAGGAAAATGTTGAATAATTTAGTAATTTAATGCCATCAATTTACTTGATAATATAAATAAATATAGTAAGTTTAGAATTACCATTGGAATCATTTTGCAAGATTTGATGCAGTCGCTCGTGCTCATACCCATGATTCGCTTGTTATCATGATAATCTCCTCTTCTCACTAGCATTTGGTGACCTATAAAGTTGGAGTGCTCATAGACCATGAAACAGCCGCTTTCCACTCTACAAGAGCAGCAGCGGCTCAGGTATGCGGTCAACTCAGGACAGTCACCACTGCTCTCGAAGTTACGACCCTGGAAGTTTCTGTCCTCATAGAATATTATCTGGAAAGACACAATGCTACATGCTTACAACAGAATAGTTCTCTTTACTTCACAAGTTTATTTGAAAGCACAATGTCTTTGTATTCCTCGGTTTACAGCTGACATTGTTAAATCAGTCTGGTTATAGTAGTAATCCAGTTCAAAGCAATTAATATCATTTGTTATAATCAGCATAGAAAGCTCTTACCTTTCCCATGATTTAGCATTTGTTCTATAGTGTCCGTGTTTTACTGTGTTGCTTTTATACTCAACTTGATTGCTAAAAATCTATAGCCTATTGTTCGAACTTCTTACTCAGCAATCCTATTTTTTCTAAACCAGTCTACAAGTAGTTGCCAGAACCATTTGCACCTGAACCGGTGCCAGCTGTGGCTTTTTCTCAGTTGTTGGACAGATAGAGAGCTGATATTCTGGTGTTTCAGTTGCTGTACAACTGACTAAATCATTCATTAGAGGCACACACATTTAAGATGTAGACTGTTTTTAAATACTAGGGAATTAAATCACAGAGCAGAGGCCTAGTTTTGTAAATAAATAAACATGTAAACAATTTAGAATATCAAAGAGAAATGAACAAAAAATATATTAAAACAAAACCAGGATGTAAAATTATTTTAACTCCTTAACTCCTTTTTAACAGGTCTTAATTTTCCTTTGCTCATGTATGGCTAACCAATCTGGCCATTAACACCCATGCAATCACCAACAAACCCAATCTCAATAAAACCTTTAACCTTTTGTTTTTAAAAATACAACTTAATTGTGTTTCTTGCAGTAACTTTTTCCTTAAAAGTTCTCAATTTATTTACTGCTGAAGATACTGACCCTTACAGCAGGGGTCTGATGCATCTGATACTTACATCAAGAAGATTGCTGGTTCGAGCTTTGGCTGGGTCAGTTGGGATTTCTGTGTGAAGTTTTCATGTTCTCCCTGTGTTTGCGTGAGTTTCCTCTGGGTGCTCCGATTTCCTCCACAAGTACAAAGACATTCGGTATTGGTGAATTGGGAAGGCTAAATGTGGCGACCCCAGAATAATAAAGGGACTAAGCCGAAAAGAAAATGAATGAATTATTAATATTATTATATTATTAAATGTATAAACTTTTAAATGAAAATCTTTTCCAATTGGGATATTTGAAAAAAATCCTTAGCATTTAGCCCTGTATAAGTCTAAAACCCTAACCCTGTAACAAATTGAGTAAACTTGTTGAGATCATTTTTTATAGTCATGCATATAGTTAATTTGCTTAGTCATTTTAAAGCAACTGGTTTACTCATTTTTTTAAGGAGTCAACTAATTGATTTAAAAGCAATTAGTTTCAGTCAACTAATCAGTTTTTACATTGTAGGTTAAGTATAGGCATAGGCTGCATCTAAAATTACATACTTCCCTACTATGTGAAAAACTGTATGTGATTAAAGTTGTATGTCCGAAGTCATAGTATCCAGAAATCTGTAGGTAAGAAGTACCTGGATGACCTACAACTTATGGAAAGATTCTGTAGTGCGCATCCAATTGATGCTAGTCTATCCCATGATGCCACACAAGAGAATTCATGACTGTGAGTGAAGCAATGCAACTAATGTGGTTATGTTATGATGACAAATGATAGATGTAGTACCTCTAAATTCTATTCATACTGTTTACAACATACTTTTCTATTGGTCATGTAGTCAATTCTAATTTAAACAATTCAGTCCATGTTACTGTTCACTTAAATTGATCAAGCCGTTCAAATTTTCAATAAAAACAACATATACATTTGAATGACATTATTCATAAGTGTATTTCAAGGTTTGATACATTATTTAAAGGTTTGAAGCAAGTATTGTTGTTAATGAATGCATTAAAAAATAATCAATGAATTTCATGTTTTGGTTGTTTATTTATTCATTCATTCATTTTCTTTTCAGCTAGGTGCCTTTATTAATAAGGGGTCGCCACAGTGGAATAAACTGCCCACTTATCCAGCATATTTTTTATGTAGCGGATGCCCTTCCAGCCGTAACCCAACACTGGAAAACACCCATACACACTCTTTCACACACATACACTAGGGCCAATTTAGCTTATTCAATTCACCTATAGCACATGTCTTTGGACTTTGTTTGAAGTATACTGTGGCCTTTAGTGTTTTTTCAAGACTGATACTTTATATGGCCTTTACGTCAAATGTGAGTGCTACTCACAAGGATAAGGCAAGTATTAATTTCAAATCTTGTTTTGTGCTATGGTCAGTTGAAATTTAGCCAGAATTATTAATGTATACATTTTAATAAATGTGTTTTAATGTGTAATGATTGATTAAATTGGTATTTTAACAGCAAACAATGATTTGCTAAACATTATATAATAAACATTTGATTTCGCTAAGATGGGCATATCGGATGTATTTTTATAATCTAGATATTAATAATTGTGATCATTATGGATATATCAAATTCATTCTAATTTTGTTTTAAGTTTTCCATTAGTTTGCGTATGCTGACAGATAATAAAATGGTGAAAATATTGCAAAACGACAGACAAAAAATAAATGCATGTTGAGAGTTTTATTGCTTTGCTTATATTATCATTTATGCTTTCAGACTGTGAATTTAACACAGGTCCACGATTCTTCTAACTGAGCTGAATCTGACATTGCTGTATCCCATATCCCTGAAGCTCCTGTACTCTCCGGGCCTGAAGTAAATCATCCTGCCTCTGTAGTGAGGCTGCTCATACATGAGCCAGTGGCCGTCCATCACATGACAGGACTGACAGTCAGAGATGCGGTAACGGTCCATGAAGGAATCGCAGTCATCTGTCAGCTCGTACATCTGTCCTCCAAAGTTATCCCTCTCGTAGATCCTCATTCTGTAGGGTCCCCTGTACTGTAAGATGAAAAGAAATATTGATTCAAAATGCACTCAGTTATACTGTATGACTATTACAAGTTAGACTTTTTTCTTGTTACCTGAGGTACAACACGACAGGACCTGATGCCGTCACTCATTCCCATGCGCATGTAGTCAGCATACTCGCCCCTCCTCATAAAGAACTGGTTTCCCATGAAGTTAGGACGATCATAGACCACAAAGCAGCCACTCTCCACTCTGCAGGAGTTGCAGCGGCTGAGGTAGGTAGACATATCAGCGCAGTCAGTGCTGCACTCATAGGAGCGACCCTGGAAGTTCCTGTCCTCGTAGAAGATGATCTACCAAGAAAAGATTTTTATTACTTTTTGTTTGCATTACTTGTGTAATTAGAGCTTAATATTGAACATAATCTAAAACTTATTTGTAAATAAACTCAATACATACCTTGCCCATGTTTGCTAGTCCTCGTGGGATTCTGTCCAGTTGCTGTCTGTCTGACCGTTGCCTTTTATACTTTATAGGCTGATAATGGTTTTTGTCATTCAAATACCCTGGAACCTGATGATCAAGCAGGTCTGTGATTTTTGTTAATTTAAATTGTGCTATCACAGCCTACATGAAACAAACAGAATGAAAGACAAACAGAAAGAGAGAGTGGGTGAGTGAGTGAGTGGGTGAGTGAAAGAGCACAGATATCAGATCAGGCAGGAGTTACAAAGTCAAACGAATTCCTTAAAGTAACAAAAATCTTCTAATTAATTAAAATAATAGTTATTTATTTTATCACATACATTTTAGATACAAGACTATCATTAGATGCTCCCCTTTCATTTTTTAGCCTGTTTGCTCTGTTTATTATGTTCACAGTAACACTTTACAATAAGGTTCATTAGTTAATGGATTTACTAACATAAACTAATCATTAACAACACATGTACTTCATTTATTAAGCAAAATTGAACATTTACTAATGCATTACTAACATTTAAGTCCATGCTTGTTAACATTAGTTAATGCACCATGAGTTAACATGAACTAACAATGAACTACTGTATTTTTATTAACTAACGTTAACTAACACGAACAAATACAGTAGTAAATGTATAGTATTGTTCATTGTTTGTTCATCTTAGTAAATGCATTAATTAACATTAACAAATGAACCTTATTGTAAAGTGTGACCATGTTAACAATATAGCAGTTGTGAAATTAATTACATATGAGAATTTATTTTTCTAACAATAGACAGCTGCAGGTATAGTATATGTATATGTTTTATATATTTCTTTTGTTCATAACTATAGCTATTTCAACACTTCCACTTGTACAGTGTGCGGAAAGTATTTACATACAGTATAAACATGCAGATGAAAGTAATGATGACATTTTTTACTGCACCCTTTACACTATTTGTCCTTTTTTGAGAAGCATGCTATTTTAGTAACATATTTTCAGCATAATGTAAAACTATGTTTGCTTAGATTTTATGCAAATATAAATGCGTTGCATTGAACTTATTGAAATTTTCAGGTGTGTTTTTAACTTAGCAGCTCAGACCTGAATCTAAGATTCTGCGAATTACTAGTTAAGTTTAGAGTCAGCAGTGAATATGTTTTAAAGACAGCTGTCTTGTCTTGCAATTACAAAAGATTTGAATGATTTAAATGTCAAGGAGAAATGTTTACAGTACAGTTACTTTTGATCAGTAGGCGGAGCTGTTACCAAATTAATAAGATATTGCCATGATTCTGTTGCAAAAGTCTACGCCAATAGGTCATAATGTAATAATTGCAGAACATCTTACTGATGAAAGTGTGACCAAAACTGGAAACTTGAGTGTTATTGTATTCTTAGTTGCTAAAAGAATCTAAAAATGTTAATTAATTAATTAAATAGTAATTCTAAACTACATTTTTTTTCCTTGTGTCATGCTTGCTGTCTGATACATCATATATATATATATATACATCAAAGAATTTAGTAAATTTTACCACACCAATTTTTTTAAAGAGCCAACTACAACATGATACATCTTGGATCAAATGCACGCTTTATATCTGTAGTGTAGTTATTAGCAAGCAATATTAAAAGTGCCAGGCACTGTCAAAGAATTGTGAAGCTCTAATGGCTGTAAAATAAAAGGGCTGTCTGTACAGGTTTTTAATTGGGTTCGATGGTTTCATGAAGAACTATTCCATCATTCATGGAACCTTTCCATTTTACAAGGTTGTTTAAAGTTGACAAAGTCTTTTTGAGTTACTAAATTGTCAACATAGACTCATTCAGAAAATGTACCCCTATTTACATTTCTGAAGATAGCAAATTATTCATTCATTCATTTTCTTGTTGGCTTAGT